GTAGCTCGGAATAAGGATCCGAGTAAGGTGCGTGATGGAGATGTTGCCCGCGGAATTGAAGGCAAACCTGGTGGTGTCAATGGAAACGGTTATGGGCCGGGCCAGGAGAGGGGCAAGGCTCGGTTACTGGCGTTGCAAATGGCGACAGAGACGGCAGTGAGGCGAAGGCCAGACTGGAAACAGAAGTAACCTGGATTTAGGGTTTTCTGGTGTCTATGGCTATGGCCGCGGCACTTGGGCATATCAAAGCGGTAAGATGGGAGGGGGAAGGGATGGACTTCTGTCCGGTTTACAAGTGCTTGAAACTTGCGAATGGTACGTTGAGAGTAGCCGTTAGGACCTATGAGCAAGACAGGCAGAGGTGAAAGGGAGAATCCAAAGTCCGAGGTTGAGATTGAGAGGAAGAAAATGGAACTGAATGTTAGAAAATAATGTTTTGATGTAATATAATATCACAAGATATTAATAACAAATCAAACATTTGAAAAATAATTGGTTTGTGAGGGAAGAAAGATATAAATTGGTCTAAGCTGTTACGAAGGATTGGAATCAAAGGGGGGGTGGAGAGGAGGCAGAGTGAGTGTGTGTGTGTGTGTGTGTGTGTGTGTGTGTGAGAGAGAGAGAGAGAGAGAGAGAGAGAGAGAGAGAGAGCGAGAGAGAGCATATTCTCTGTAATGTTACGGCAAAACCGTACGTGGACTCGAAGAACAAAATGTCCCCTATTCAATCGCCGATAAATCTTTTCTTATGATATAACGTAAGTATCGAAGTCAACGGGGTTCGCATGATCAACTCCTCAGTAGCCATCACTGCTAGAATCTGAGTCGTGGGATGATGGTAGAAGACCGATGAGGACAAATTCTTTCCTCGTTGATCAGCAGAACGCTCAAGACATGCACTATGGCAACATAATATATTCACTCCGGAGTAAAATAAAACCACAATACCATCCAAAAAACAGGTGTCACAGACGACATAAATACCGCGACAAGGAGCGTGTACCGAGATTAGCCTCATACTTATTCACTCCCATTTTATTCGATCGACAGCTGGGGTTTACATTATTCGTCTCCTTCCCACCCTCTCCACAAGAACAAGGATTATACTGTTTCTTCGCTGTTACACCGTCTCACAGTACACGCAGCCGTAATTATCTGGCAATTATATCCGTAGAAGCCATCTCGTGGAGCATAACTGGCGTATCCGGTCACTGATCAAGGGTGACCAAACCCACCGCCGTAGCCCGACCCCGACCCCGAGCCATAGCCGGAGCCGGAGCCGGAGCCTGACCCCGATCCACCGCCGCCGCCTCCACCACCCCCCCCGCCTCCGCCTTTGCCGTAGCCGCCGGCGCCTCCAGAACCGTACCCGGACCCGCTTCCTGACCCATATCCCGACCCACCTCCTCTCCCTCCGCCACCTCCACTGCCACCACCGCCCCCGCCGCCGCTGCCGTAACCTCCACCGTTTGCGCCGCCACCTCCGTATCCCGATCCGGAGCCGTACCCACTCCCGGATCCTTGCCCATATCCCCCACCGCCCCCTTGACCCCCTCCACCGCCGCCGCCACCACCCTTACCGTATCCACCCCCGTACGCTCCCCCGCCACCCTCACCGTAGCCGGACCCGTAACCGGATCCTGAACCGTTACCGGTGCCGCCACCTCCCCCACCACCTTGACCCCCACCGCCTCCACCGGCGTATGCCGTGAGAACTCTGGCGGCAGAAGACGTGCCCACGCAGAGCATCACCAGCAAGGCCACACTCGCTATCTTAGAGGTCCCCATAGCTCCTGATAAACTGACTGGAGAAGAGATGATTTGCCGGACGGAGAACGAAGATGGTATTTATAGGGTCTCACGCGGTGGACTGTACGAGTTCCATCTTCACGCTGTTTCACAGGCTGGCTTGGATTCCTCGCTTTCGTGTGTGAAACTAGGACCAACTGAGGGCACCCGTTTACTTTTGACCAACAGTGGACTTCGGCCTACCGACGACCACGATGGATAGCCTGATAAGGTTGTCCCCGGGACCCACATATACTCACTGACCCAAGTGTATATGATCGCAGTTCAATATTCCTGTGGGTGGGAAAACCAGGTACGAAATTCTCTGGGCCCAGTTTCGTTACACACCGGTGTTGTTCTCATGTGACGTGGCTCACGTTCATCGCCCTCTCCACAAGGCCTTTTTCATGCTGATGAGTCGCGTAGAAAGAGCTCGCCCCTATATTCTGTTAGCTAATAATCTACTAAGAGCTCGCCCATATATATATAGATAGATAGAGAAAGAGAGAGAGAGAGAGAGAGAGAGAGAGAGAGAGAGAGAGAGAGAGAGAATTAGGTAATATGTCGAGCCGCCCAGGGATCAAAACTTATGCTCTACAGGGAAGGAGAAGAAACAAATTATACTCCGCGCCCGAGGAAAGGTAAAGAACATCGAGGAGAACACCGATCTAGAGATGACTTTTAACCGCATGAGAGTCACGAAATCAAATGTGCACGTTAACTGTGAGAAATCGAGCTCATGAGGTAACAAAGACGAGGAAAAAGTTAGTGCACAGGAGCTTAAGTGACACCGAATATTGCGGTCGACGGCAGGTCGTTTCACACGGACTATCCGACTCCGTCAACCCTGAGGTAGAGCGAGAGAGAGAAAGGAGGGAGGGGGGGACACAGAGAGAGAAAGAGAGAAAGAGAGTCTGTCCTCACTATAAGGTAAAGTTGTCACCATCCCCCTTCTGGCGGGTCCTTGCAGGTTGGGGGTACTCGGGCGAGTAACACGTCCGCGTAATCATATGTATCATGCCAACTCAGCGATTATTAAAAGTACAATGAAAAAATAATATAGTTGAGACGATCTTTTTTACAAAATCTGATCCGGGACACGACGCCGATGAATCTATAGTTCATCCGTCCGGGATGATGATAGATACTGGTTCACAAAACTGTTTAACAAAATTTAGCATAATTAGCGCGCCGCCGGATGGTAGAACGGTTGGATTCTGAATCAATTAATCGATGGGAAGCAAAGGAGTGTGGTAATCGACGTTCTATAAGAAGACGTGATAAGAGGACGAGTGATTCTAGACCCCAGAAATCGCTGGCTTACCTCTGTGCTCGCTTGTTTTAACAAAATTCATATGATACGTAACGTCGACTGTCCCTCGATTATTGTATCATTTTATTTTATGCAAGCGTTGAATGTTTTCTGTTGGCATCGGATTGCTTTCGTTTTCATATCTGACTTAAATTCCGAATCTGTATCCCGACCTGCCGCCACGCCTCGCGAAACGATCCACAGACGGCCACCCGACGCCTTCTCCAGTGCCCAAAACGTCTCTGCAGCCGCCTTCCCCACACCCTCCTCCACCACCAAAAGACGTGCAGTAAGAACCCCGGCGACGGAGGAGCGTCACCACCAACCCGGGACACTGAACCCTTTACCTCCGCATTTCCCGCGGAATAAAGAAATCAGACCACAGAAAGTTGACTTGATGCCCGTGGAAACATTCTCCACGGGGTTCTTTTAGGACGCAAAACTGCGGTCGAAAACGAAGGCAGCCTGAACTTGTATGCGATCACGAGAGATCATCACGACTGCACAAGTCTCCGATCGAACGTTGACTCCCTGGGACCCGCCTTCTAAAACTTGGAGTTTGAGGTAAAATTCGTCGAAGAAACCATCGATCTGGCACTCAAATGTCAGCGTCGGGGGCGCTTATTTCTGAGGAAGGTTAGGTAGCCTTCCATTATGCAATGTGTGTGGATTGGAAAACAAGACTCCATATTGCATGCAGCGAGTTACGCGGCCGGACTCATCGTGTGAAAAGAAGAGAACCCCTTCCACTTAATGCATCCATTCACTGTAGTTTTCGGGGATGAAGTTGTTGGAGTCCAATAAAGAAATGAGCCATCGATCCTGTGTAGCTCCCGTAGTTGAGGAGAGTCTACGTGCATCTACAGCTGCGACCCCGCACAGATTGGCTCATGACGACTGGAAGTTCTCTCCGATTCCATCCCACTGCCATTTCAACACGGGGGCAGAGGGAGAGAGAGAGTTACTGCAACAAGAACGTTTGAGCTTCTGCACATTAGATCCGATCACCTCATGCCTCTAGACACCCTATTAGTTCTCTGCTCAGTTTAGATCGGAGGACCCTATTAGTCAGTTTCTCTTAAGATGAAAGCATTACGCCAAATGCTATACAGACCATGTTATAAATGAGAATAAAGTTAAAAACGAATGGACCGTTTTAAATCGTAGTGTATAATTTCAATTCAAGATAAACACAGTTTTACAATATATTAGTCAAATTTCATGATATTTTCACGCCGGAAGACGTTGGAGAACAAAATCTCAATGATTTAATATATACGGCAAGTAAAAAACATAACGAGAACAAAATAAAGTCCAAACACTTAAATGTTCACTCTCTATCTCTCCTCTCTCTCTCTCTCTCTCTCTCTCTCTCTCTCTCTCTCTCTCTCTCTCTCTCTCTCTATCTATCTATCTCTCCTCTCTCTCTCTCTCTCTCTCTCTCTCTCTCTCTCTCTCTCTCTCTCTCTCTCTCTCTATCTATCTATAGTTGTTTGTCTATATTTATATACGTGGCTTTTTCCATTAAGAGAATGGTCTTCAGCCTATTTTCTACATTTTTGTCTACATCATGTATGCGCTATGAAACATCATATACTCCCTAACTATTTTTAAATTACTTGTTTTATGAAAATAGAAACCTAGTTTGAAATATTTTTTATATTTTAAATTAAAAATAAATCACTCTATCTTATGTTAAGACGTGCATGTCCTGAAAACATAAACCACTGTGGATTTGAGATAATATGCTAAATTTGAAATTGTCGATTATTGCTACTAATTGTAGCGTGAATCACAGCATTGACGACCAGGGCTTCACAACGACGTGGCATAACAATACATTGAGGAGACTACAGGAGTTAAACACTGTATGAACCGGAAACAAGGCCTGGAAAGTTCTCTCATGGACGCCCAGCTCCGCCGCCGTATCCAGACCCATATCCAGAGCCGTAGCCCGAACCAGAGCCGGACCCCCCTCCGCCACCGCCACCGCCTCCCCCGCCTCCTCCACCACCGCTTCCATAAGCTCCGTTTCCAGCACCGGAGCCATAGCCAGAACCGCCGCCGGACCCGTAGCCCCAGCCACTTCCGTTCCCACTTCCGCCGCCTCCTCCACCGCCGCCGCCACCTCCTCCGCCGCTTCCGTAGCCTGCGCCGTTGTCACCCCCAGCACCGTACCCAGTTCCCCCTCCCGACCCAGAACCATACCCGCTCCCGCCTCCTTGCCCACTGCCGCCACCGCCGCCACCGCCGCCTCCACCGGCCCCATATCCACGGCCGTTGGCTCCACCGGCCCCATAGCCGGACCCGGAGCCATATCCACTTCCGTAGCCGTTTCCGGAGCCTCCCCCTCCCCCTCGTCCCCCCCCACCGCCACCCCCTCTTCCATAGCCACCACCGCGTCCCCCACCGATGCCTTCCCCGTACCCGGAACCGCCTCCGGAGCCGTAGCCAGAACCGGAGCCATTGCCCGACCCACCGCCTCCTCCTCCGCCGCCCCCACCACCGCCAGCACCGGCATAACCAGTTAAAACCCTGGCGGCAGAGGACATGCCCACGCAGAGCATCACCACCAAGACCACACCCACTACCTTTGGGTTTCCCATCTTCGGTAGGACGTAGAAATCAGAAGATGGAGAGGATACTTGGATGTGCCTCGGAAGGGAACCGTCGGGGGGTATTTATAGGACTAGGATGCCTACATGTTTACGGTGCCGACTGTGCCCATGGATTTCAGTCAGAGTCGTACTGGGCATAACGACAGTTGGTTTCCATCTAAATGTGAACTGTCCTCACAAACTTTCCAAACCTTGGAGCTCGAGTCAACGTTGATCGTTGACTCTTCAAATAAAGTGGAGGCGACATTTCTGTTCGTATCTTACAAAAAAAGTTTTGCAGCACCGTCTACAGACCCCACTGGACGGATGACGTCCTCCGCGGGCGCCCCTGCCGAACAAGTAAATTGAAATACGCATAACCAGGCCACGTCGTGTAGGATTCAGGATTGACGGCTGCTGGATTCCATAATTTTTTTTGTCAGAGTGAGGTTTTAGTCGGTTCGAGTGTACAACAGTTGATAATAACGAGAGCTGTGAAAGCGGCGTAACGTTATAAGGCGTACACACCGTGTAGATCTCCATTGTCGCCATTATACTTATCGTCATATGTTATTGGTGGATGTATCGGTGGAAAATACTATAAACGATCCGCAAGAGGCGTCATATTTTTAGAACCGACTTATTACGAAAGAAATAATAATATAGAGGTCTATTCTATATAAGATGTTGAGCTGAATATGGAGATTTTATTTTTTACTCATCAAATCTTGAGAAAATTTTTGATCAATACACAGCCTTTGGAATTTTTCTATGTAGTATTCAAATATAGCCTAAAAGTTGATGTGAATTTCTCTATGCTGTAAGAGAAGTTTTGATTGTTGTGAAAAATGGTGGTCCTTGTATACTTTTATAAGATTGTTAGAATTTCTCTATGGGGCATGAGGAGTTGGATCGGTCGACACCTCCTTGTGTAGGTTTTTATCGACTTCGTGTATCAACATGAATAATACGAAGCACAGCACCTCCTTGTGTAGGTTTTTATCGACTTCGTCTATCAACATGAATAATACGAAGCACAGTCCTTAAATTCAATCTAAAGGCAGCTCACCCTCGTTGAAAATCTTAAAATTTTATATTTTATTCTATTTCTGGCATATCTACCGCTCTCTCTCTCTCTCTCTCTCTCTCTCTCTCCATTTATATGCCTCCTCATATGAGCACCCATCCCACGATATCAAATGACTCTTAATAGACGAATGATCATCATAGACCGCTTTCAGGGAAAAAGAATTAGAGACAGATTGCACGAAAGGGTCACACACGTGCAGTGAAATAAGGCCAAGTATATCGCTACTTTTCCACCCATATTTTTCATTAACTGAGATCTTGCTCACAAAGAACGGTAACTAGGACATTTATCTCCTGCTTTTATTTTGAAAGGTTACGGTGGTGACGGCAGTTGGAAAGGAAGTCAGACCGGGTATGGTTACGGTTTGGGTGGGGGGTGAAGAGACACACTGGGGGTGCCAACTTTCGAAGCTGCAGTAGAATCGGCGGCGGTGGCGGTGGTGGAGGCACTGATGGAAGTTTGAATGGAACAGTGGTCGGTAAAAAAAAATTGCTTTATGAGTTTCTCCTATCTTATACGCGGACGTGTTTTGAGTCAAACGATGTTTGATTGACATCGTATTAACGATTACTCCAGCGTCAAACTTATGTTGAATCCCGTGCGCAAATGGCCAAAACCAATGAATCGCCATCCTCTCTCTCTCTCTGACCCTACAGCTGTTTTGCGCATTCGAGTTGCATAGCGTCACTCCTGAGCTACATTTTTTGTTCTGTGTGGGAGGCCTGGACATGATACATGGCGGGTTTTGAGAACATGCTCTCAGTTCACCACCAACCTGAGTACCACACAGAGTGCATGGGTCCAAGCACTTCAAAAGTCAACGTTCTTCAGCTCCCAGCGCGTCCTTATTTTTTGTTTCACTTATTTCGTGGTAGGCTGCCTAACCCTATCTAAATATTTAGAGTCAACTGTGCAGTGGGAACGTGATCAATTATAGCGCTTCTGACTGCTGCGTCCCGAATCCGGCGTCAATTCTCTGTCGCTGCGGGTCCAACGCCCACAGGCACGTCAGCACCGAAGAATAGAATGGAGGTCTGACGGGATCAGGTCGAATAGCAGATGTGGCCTGGTGGTCTCTTCGACAAATGTTGAGCAGACCTGCAAGGTTTGGAAGTTATAACGCGTTATCAACGTTTGATCGTAGGCCAACTGAGTCAAAGAGAGGACGCAGAAGCTCAGAATAAGTGTCCGGATATGGTGCGGGAGTACCCAACGGCGGCGAAGATGGAGATGTTGGCAGTAGAGTAGAAGGCGGACTTGATTTTGGAAATGGAAATGATTGTTGGTCTGTCCAGGAGAGGGACAAGGTACAGCTACTGGCACTTTAAATGGTGACGGAGACGGCAGGGAGGCGAAGGTCAGAGTGGAGACATAAGAAGCCTGGGTTTTGGGGTTTGGTGGTGGCTATGCCCGTGGCACTTGAGAGTATCAAAGCGGTGAGAGTGGAGGGGGAAGCGATGGACTTTGGTCTGGTTTACAAGTTCTTTAAACTGGGGAATTGCACGTCGAGAGTAGCCGTTAGGACCCATAAACAATACAGGCAGAGGTGAAAGAGAGAAGCCGGTGTCCGAGGGTGAGATTGAGAGGGAGAAAATGGAAGTGCTTGCTAGAAAATAATGTTCTGGTGCAATATTATGTGACGAAGATATTGGGAAGAAATTAGAATGTCAAAAAGAATTAGCTTGTAAGGGAAAAAAGATATGGATGTCCAAACTGTTACGAAGCATTGGAATCAACTATTACACCAGACTTTTCCAATTCAGTTCACGATTGGGCTCCAGTCCCAAGCGCGCACTGGGGGTGGGGAGTGAGAGAGAGAGAGAGAGAGAGGGAGAGCGAGAAAGCATATTTTTCATTGACGTTACGCCAACTGTGCGTGGACTCGAAGAACACATTTTCCCCTACTCAATCGTCCTGCTTTCGTATCTTTATGCAATAATCTAATAATCGAAGTCAAAGGGTGGGTTCGCATGGTCAACACCTCAGTAGCCATCGCCGCAAGAATTTGAGTCAGGTGGAATAATAAAAGAAGACCGATGTGGTCAAATTCTTTCTTCCTTGGTCAGCGGAACACTCAAGGCTTACGTACTATATCAACAGAAAACATTCATTACGGAGTAAAATACAACAAAGATGACATCCAGAAAACAAGTCGTTGATTCCCATTTTATTCTATCGTCATCTTGGGTTTACATTATTTCTCACCATCTCCCTTCCTCTCCACAAGAACAAGGATTATACTGTTTCTTCGCTGTTACACCGTCTCACAGTACACGCAGCCGTAATTATCTGGCAATTATATTCGTAGAAGCCATCTCCTGGAGCATAACTGGCGTATCCGGTCACTGATCAAGGGTGACCAAACCCACCGCCGTAGCCCGACCCCGACCCCGAGCCATAGCCGGAGCCAGAGCCTGACCCCGATCCACCGCCGCCGCCTCCACCACCCCCGCCGCCTCCGCCTTTGCCGTAGCCGCCGGCGCCTCCAGAACCGTACCCGGACCCGCTTCCTGACCCATATCCCGACCCACCTCCTCTCCCTCCGCCACCTCCACTGCCACCACCGCCCCCGCCGCCGCTGCCGTAACCTCCACCGTTTGCGCCGCCACCTCCGTATCCCGATCCGGAGCCGTACCCACTCCCGGATCCTTGCCCATATCCCCCACCGCCCCCTTGACCCCCTCCACCGCCGCCGCCACCACCCTTACCGTATCCACCCCCGTACGCTCCCCCGCCACCCTCACCGTAGCCGGACCCGTAACCGGATCCTGAACCGTTACCGGTGCCGCCACCTCCCCCACCACCTTGACCCCCACCGCCTCCACCGGCGTATGCCGTGAGAACTCTGGCGGCAGAAGACGTGCCCACGCAGAGCATCACCAGCAAGGCCACACTCGCTATCTTAGAGGTCCCCATAGCTCCTGATAAACTGACTGGAGAAGAGATGATTTGCCGGACGGAGAACGAAGATGGTATTTATAGGGTCTCACGCGGTGGACTGTACGAGTTCCATCTTCACGCTGTTTCACAGGCTGGCTTGGATTCCTCGCTTTCGTGTGTGAAACTAGGACCAACTGAGGGCACCCGTTTACTTTTGACCAACAGTGGACTTCGGCCTACCGACGACCACGATGGATAGCCTGATAAGGTTGTCCCCGGGACCCACATATACTCACTGACCCAAGTGTATATGATCACAGTTCAATATTCCTGTGGGTGGGAAAACCAGGTACGAAATTCTCTGGCCCCAGTTTCGTTACACACCGGTGTTGTTCTCATTTGACGTGCCTCACGTTCATCGCCCTCTCCACAAGGCCTTTTTCATGCTGATGAGTCGCGTAGAAAACTCTTGCGATAGAGGGCCTGTCTACGCAGAGCATCACCAGTACGACCACACCCACTACCGTAGGATTTCCCGTGTTTGTTAGGACGTAGAAACCAGAAGATGGAGAGAATACTTGGGTGTGCCTCGATGCATTGCAGTCAGAGACCTACAGAGGATAACTGTACTTGGGTTCCTTCTGAACGTGTCCTGTCTTCGCGAACTTTGGAACTTGGGAGCTTGACCCAACGCTGAGCGTTGACTCTTCAGAATACAGTGGAGGCGTCGTTTCTGTTCATATCTTCCACAAAAATCTTGCATCGCCATCCACAGTACCCCCAGGATGGATGACGCTCTCCGAGGGCGCCTCTACCGAACAAGTAAATTGAAATACGCATAACCAGCCCACTTCTTCGCTGTGGGAGCTCACCCACTAGCCGAACACCCAGGATCGACGGCCGTCAGATTCCCTAAAATTTGTAGTTACAATGATGGTTTAACTGGTTCGAGAGCTGTGAAAATCGGCGTAAACAATCAGTGTAGATCTCCATTGTCATCATTATACTTATCGCCATATGTTATAGAAAATCAGACGGA